CAGAATTGCCCCTAACCACCCACATTCTCTTTGCAACCCCAAGACATACCTCATATCCCATCAAGAATCAGCCTGTATTGTATAGATTTGCCCGAAAATACACAGAATTGGACCACAAGTTCCAGAAATGCCACACTAGGTGCAGACAGAGCCCGATTCCTAAGGGACTACAACTCTCAGGAAAACACACACACACACACACACACACACACACACACACACACACACACAGAGATTTCCTGTAAGAAATATAAATGCAAAGATTTATATTCTTTATATATAATATACAACATAAAATGCAAATAAAATGCAAAGATTGCCCCATCACATGGAGATTGACTATAGCTGTCCAGAATCAACCCATGAAATATATATATAGTCTCACCCCATGACTTCAAGACACATCCCACAATATACAGACTGTCATGCTTAGACCACAACACCTGGACATGTCTTACAATGTGAGGACATGATCCACACTCTGTAGACTACCCTAGCATTGCATATAATTGAATCCAGAAAATCATAATCATAAAAGTCACAGCACCTAGAATCAGTCCCACAAAGCATGCTCACCCCAAACCAGATGCCCATGACTGACTGGGTCCACACTTTATAGAGATAGCCTATGGTAAAAAGGAATTTGAGGACAAAAAAGAAAAAAATATAGAGAGATATACGACAACCCACAGCTTCCCCGTGTGCCATTTATATACGTCTCTCTTTTTTTGTTTTTTGAGACAGAGTCTTGCTCTGTCACCAGGTTGGAGTGCAGTGGCACAATCTTGGCTCACTGCAACCTCTGCCTCCCGGGTTCAAGTGATTCTCCTGCCTCACCCCCCCAAGTAGCTGAGACTACAGGCGCACGCCACCATTCCCAGCTAATTTTTGTATTTTTAGTAGAGATGGGGTTTCACTATGTTGGCCAGGATGGTCTCCATCTCTTGACCTCGTGATCTGCCCACCTCAGTCTCCCAAAGTGCTGGGATTACAGGCGTGAGCCACCGCACCTGGCCTTTATATATCTCTTTTAATGTAGAGAACAGCCTCACAGGGCAGACATGTATCCCACTTGGCACAGATCAGCACCACAAGAAACTCCCTCACAGGACCTACACTTCCCTATACTTTGAATAACCCACATACTTGATCACAACCCACTTTCCTATCAGAAAGACTCATGCCACAACATAAAGCTCATTATTCCAAAATACATAGAACCAACTCCCAATGCAAAGAGACTTCCCTTGTAACAAAAAGATGTTCTCTGCCACACTCAGACTTACCTCGCCTCACCAGACTTGACCCACAACATCTAGCCTTGCACCACTACACAGAGACATGTCATTTCACCCAGAAAATAGCCCCAGAACACTCAGGCTTGCCTCATGGTCTTTATACACTCAGACTCATATCATGATGCAGAAGAGGCATATACAGCGAAAATGTGATCCACAATGCGCATACTCAGTCCACGACGCATAGACTTACTCCATATTTCACAGCTGGTTCTCATAATTCCCAGACTTGCTACACAATACTCGGAAGGCCTTACAACACCTAGAAAAAGTAGCATGATATGTATGCTCACTCTAGAACATTCAGATTCACTTCATAAGGGACAAACTCAGTCAGTTACATTGAATACCCAACAACATATTGTTTGTTCCACAGATTTTGAGGAGAGGGCCTACATGCTCACACAGAGCTTTGACAAGTGACTTCATTTCTTTCTTTCTTTTTTTTTTGAGATGGAGTCTTGCTCTGTTGCCCAGGCTGGAGTGCAGTGGCGCAATCTCAGCTCACTGCAACCTCCATCTCCCGGGTTCAAGCACTTCTCCTGCCTCAGCCTCCCAAGTAGCTGGGATTACAGGTGCGTGCCACCACAGCTGGCTAATTTTTTATATTTCTGGTAGAGACGGAGTTTCATCATGTTGGCCAGGCTGGTCTCGAACTCCTGACCTGGTGATCCGCCTGCCTCGGCCTCCCAAAGTGCTGGGATTACAGGCATTAGCTAGCGTGCCCAGCCGACTTCATTTCTTTGAGTCTGTTTACCTATTTGTAAACATGGATGCAATATCTACTTTTAGACTATTCCAAGGATGAAATGAGATAACTTCAGGAAAGAATCAAGGTTCAGAACATAGAATTTAGAGGCAGACTTACCTGCTTCCAATCCTAGCTCCACCACTCCCTGGTGCTATTACGTGGGCACATTAGATATTGAAATGCTCTGTGGTAGAGTACAAGGAATATAAGTTTGGTGTCTGTCGACCTGGTTTTGAATTCTGTCTCTGCCACTTACTGGCCATATGACCTTAGGTAAGGTACTTTAATTCACCAATCTTCAGCTCCTCACTTATAAATTGGGGAAGATGGTGTTCCCTGCCTTCGAGGCTGTTGTAAGGATTAAATGATGCCTGGCATCTTAATCTAACAAGCAAGAATGTGCAGGCACAGACACCGACTCACACCCAATGCATGAGTATATGTATATTATGTACACATGGATACATAGACATGCAGAAGCTCACACAGATGAATATTTGCAAGCAGTAAACATAAGGACAAAACATGTCCACATGGACACAGATATTATCTTATATGGCTGGACTCGTGCAGAGATAAATACAGGTGAATACAGATATAGTCCCACGGATTTACGTATGTACACCTAGACATGGCTACTGCCCCCAAACAAGACAGGATTTCACTCACTTAGATGATGACACACTCAAAACCCCCATTATAAGCCAGGCGTGGCAGCTCATGTCTGTAATCCCATCACTTTGGGAGGCTGAGGCGGGTGGATCACCTGAAGTCAAGAGTTTGAGACCAGCCTGGCCAACATGGTGAAACCCCATCTCCACTAAAAATACAAAAATTAGCTGGGCGTGGTGGCAGATGCCTATAATCCCAGCTACTCGGGAGGCTGAGGCAGGAGAATCGCTTGAACCCGGGAGGCAGAGGTTGCGGTGAGCCGAGATTGAGCCATTGCACTCCAGCCTGGGTGACAAAAGTGAAACTCCACCTCAAAAAACAACAACAACAACAACAAAAAACAAACACAAAAAACCCATTACAGGCCCATGCATAAAGAGCTCTATAAATGTACTTGCATGTACAGACATTTAAATGCACAGGCAGATGTACACTCAGATGCCATGTATACCCACACAGAAATACCCAAGCAGACTACGTCATAAGCATGTACGAGACATATACATATATCTTTAGATAATACCTATCTAAACACACTTTAGACGTGCATATGTACATATAGACATACACAGGTACACAAATGCACAGATGTACAGACATGCACCCTCATGTGTCAACATATGCACACATTGGCATGCACATATCCACACACACTGTTCTACAAATGTACTCATAGGTTCATGACATACAAGTCCTAAATGCACATCGAATACATGGATATACACATATACATATGCCAATGTAGCTATATGGATGCATTTATAGACTTAATCATGCCACAAACAGAAACAGACTTACACATGCCCAGACATTAGAGACACATGCAATTTATGCATATGAAAAACAGAGATACCTAACCACAAAGAAGCACTTTTACAAAGGTGGCTGTGACTTTTTTTTTTTTATTTTATTTTATTTTTTGAGACAAAGTCTTGCTCTGTGGCCCAGGCTGGAGTGCAATGGTGTGATCACGGCTCACTGCAGCCTCCACCTCTCAGGTTCAAGCAATTCTCTGCCTCAGCCTCCCAAGTAGCTGGGATTACTGGCACCCACCACCATGCCTGGCTAATTTTTGTATTTTTAGTAGAGACAAGGTTTCACCATCTTAGCTAGGCTGGTCTCAAACTCCTGAGCTCAGGTGATCCACCCGTCTTGGTCTCCCAAAGTGCTGGGACTACAGGTGTGAGCCACCGCGCCCAGCTGAGGCTGTGACTTTTATTCTATTTTATTTTATTTTTTATTATACTTTAAGTTCTAGGGTACATGTGCTCAACATGCAGGTTTGTTACATATGGATACATGTGCCATGTTGGTGTGCTGTACCCATTAACTCGTCATTTACATTAGGTATATCTCCTAATGCTATCCCTCCCCCCTCCCCCTCTCCCCACAATAGGCCCCGGTGTGTGATGTTCCCCTTCCTGTGTCCAAGTGATCTCATTGTTCAGTTCCCATCTATGAGTGAGAACATGCGGTGTTTGGTTTTCTGTTCGTGCCCTTGTCTTAGTCTTTTCAAGAGAGAATGAAAATTATCAAGCTCTTTCTGCTTAATATGCTGTATAAAAGTAGATGTGGACATTACCAGAAGGATCTCTAGAAGATCTTGAGTTCACATGCGAGTATGCACACACCTCACAAACCCACGTGCACAGAATCAGAGACATAAAATCACATAGAATCACAGAAATAGAAACGTGCATAACCACATATAGAATAAGATACATGCACAGACACACACCCCACTGAAATGTCAAACTGTAATATTTAAATGCATATCTATTGAAGTTAAAAAAAAAAAAACTGCATTTTAATCCCAGCTCCATCACTTACTAGTTCAATGATTTGGGGCCATTTTCTTGCCTTCTCACCTGTAACACGGGAGTAATATTAGCACCTATCTTTTAGAGTTCTTTGAAGATGTAGTGAAATGAAGGGCTTAGCCCAGTGCTTACAGTGTCATAGATGTTGCTGCTATTGCTGTTATCTTTTGGTTTTGGTCCAAAGTGCTTAGCTAGATAGGGTTTGGTTTTTGTGGTCAAACTGCATGATTATATCATAGAGATGTATTAATCACTTTTTTTGTAAATGTATTAATAACGAATAGTTTATTAATGTAGTAATATGGATTATGTCCACAAACAAGGTCATTTCTGAAATTCTCAGCAATGATAAGGGATTATTATTGTCTTTGGCAAATGGAAAAATCTGAAACAAATATTTCCTGCTAGTGTAGTTTGTTGTTGTTATTATTGTCATTAGTATTCTTTTCCTCTTTTCAGGAGGAGATGGAAGATTGAGAGAGAGAGGAGTGTAAGCATGGGAAGAGGGCTTCGCGCCCAGTGCACATTTGCCACCTAGTGACTAAACTGAGTAAGTAACGTATTTTTGGACTGCTCAGACAAGTCCCTAAAACTTCACTCATTGCAAGGTTGTGTAATCACGCTTGTGAATAAGCAAGTATACATCAAGTTATAGCGATTTCCGCTACATATCTAGAAATAAAAAAAAGTCATAAAATAAAAACAAATCTTTCTCTCTAACTTTTCCCCCTGCCATCCCAAATTTCCCTGTGGAATTCACTGAGCCCGTGTTCTATAGCAGTGATCTTCATACTTTCTAATTATTTACCACCTAACATCATTTTGGAAAACGGTCCCCTCCATCACACATCTTGACGTGAACACCTGAAATTTCTTATCATAAGTTTAAGTATTTGTAGCATATTTCCAGCATATTGTGAATACTCAGACTTTTAAATAAATTATTTCATCAATTTTTTGCATGCAAAAATAAATGAAATAAAAATACCATACTCATTTGATATTCATAATTGTTGATTTAAAAAAACATGAACAAGGTCTTCTTTAGCAATCAGAAATTTTACATAGTATTTCTGTCTCCTTGAACTTGCCATTCCATTCAACTTCCCTCAGATAATGTATAATAATGTATATATTTTAAATGGTTAAAGGCCCCTTATTGGTCACCTTACCATACATGCCTGCAAAAAGTATATAAGAATTGAAATAAATTTTCTGTGACTCTAAGCCTCAAAAGATTAAAATTTTTATCATAAATTTATCAGTAGTACACAATCAAAAGAACAAAATATTACACATTTGGTAAGTAATTAGTAAAATGAAAAGTAAAATTGGTTGAAAATACATCCCTTTTTTTTTTTTTTTTAAACAGAGTCTTGCTTTGTCGCCAAGGCTGGAGTGCAGTGACGCAATTTCAGCTCACTATAAACTCCACCTTCCAGGTTCAAGCAATTCTCATGCCTCAGCCTCCTGAGTAGCTGGGATTACAGGCATGCGCCACCATGCCCGGCTAATTTTTTTGTATTTTTAGTAGAGACAGGGTTTCACCATGTTGGCCAGGCTGGTCTCAAACTCCCGATCTCAGGTGATCCGCTCGCCTCGGCCTCCCAAAGTGCTGGGATTACAGGCGTGAGCCACTCTGCCTGGCCAAAAATACATCTCTTAAGTGAATATGATTTTATTTTCCCCAAACTAATTTTTGAATCTGAGGATGACCCTTACTTATTTCTAATGAGACAGACTTCAGTTCCTGTCTTTCATTTTTATAGATAAAAGAACTCAGAAAATTTTGTTCCCATAAATAATCATGTAGTGACCTGTCATCAAAAATAATTTTTAATGATTAAAAAAAATTTAACTAAATTTTTGAGTTTTAACAGACAACTTGATTAGACCCATCTTTAATTCTGTGAAAGCAAAGAAACCCTCTGATTTACTAAAGGATTTGTTGTTCAGTCACTTTTTCAGTTTCCGGGAAGTTCACTAAAATGGCTTTCCCCAAATTTATTACATAACTATTATATCTGTCATATTTTCATTTGTGGCATTATTTAAAATTCATTATACATATAAAAGGTTGTGAAAATCAAAGTACTTAGATCAATATGTCTTTGCCAATACAATAATTTTGATAAAATGCTATTTATTTATTTATTTATTGAGACGGAGTTTCGCTCTTGTTGCCCAGGCTGGAGTGCAATGGCTCGGTCTTGGCTCTCTGCAACCTCCTAGTGACCAAACTGAGTAAGTACCATATTTGTGGTCTTGAAGCCTGCGGGTTCAAGAGATTCTCCTGCCTCAGCCTCCCAAGTAGCTGGGATTACAGGCATGCGCCACCACGCCCAAGTAATTTTTGTATATTTAGTAGAGATGGGGTTTTCCATGTTTGTCAGGCTGGTCTCGATCTCCCAACCTCAGATGATCCACTGGCCTCGGCCTCCCAAAGTGCTGGGATTACAGGCATGAGCCACTGTACCCAGCCTTTAATTTATTATATTCTATAAATATAAGAACTTGAGGCTACAGATTTGAATTAACAATTTTATAGAAAATATTCATAATATAATTTAATTGGCAAAGGCAGTATTCATATAAAAACAATCAACAAAATCAGATTTAGTTTCAGAAAAAGTGTCTGACTTCATTTTTCAAGGAAAAAATATTAATATACATTTTGAGGCACATTATTCAAACCATGGATAAATCAATTATGAAGCACCCTGTTAAACAGATAACTAGCAAAGTAAATATCATATTAAAATAAAAATGAGGTTTTTATCCACTTCAAAATAAATTAAGAAATTAAATAATAACTTTGTTTCTGATATATAATTTTAAATTAAACAATGTAGTATATGGTTACCATTGGAGGTCATACATGAAACAAGGAATCTGAACGTAGGCAGAATTTCTCATGTAAATATGTATGCATGTGTTTTTAGAACATTGGAGTTGAATTTCTGGGAATAATTAACTAAGAATAGCTTATACATTTTTTTTTCCTCAAATCCGTAAACTTAATTAGACCATAGAATTAAACTTTTCTTTTTTTCTTTTCTTTTTTTTTTTTTTGAGACAGAGACTCGCTCTGTTGCCAGGCTGGAGTGCAGTGGGGTGATCTTGGCTCACTGCAACCTCCCCCTCCCAGGTTCAAGCGATTCTCCTGCCTCAGCCTCTCGAGTAGCTGGGATTATAGGTGCCTGCCATCCCGCCCAGCTAATTTTTGTATGTTTAGTAGAGACGGGGTTTCACCATGTTGGCCAGGATGGTCTTGATCTCCTGACCTCGTGATCCCTCCACCTCGGCCTCCCAAAGTGCTGGGATTACAGGCGTGAGCCACTGCACTCAGCCTAGAATCAAACTTTTTTACGATATTTTATGAAAGAGTCTGAAAAATAATTGCTAAATATAAAACTCGCGTGTCATTTTATTTTTGATAATAGGAGGCAGAAAGTATAAAGATTATTTATAAAATGAATTTTTTTTTTTTGGAGTCAGAGTCTCACTCTTTTGTCCAGGCTGGAGCGCAGTGGTGCAGTCTCGGCTCACTGCAACCTCCACCTCCCAGATTCAAGTGATTCTCGTGCCTCAGCCTCCCGAGTAGCTGTGATTATAGGTGCGAGCCGCGACACCTGGTTAATTTTTGTCTTTTTAGTAGAGGCAGGGTTTCACCATGTTGCCCAGGCTGGTCTCGAGCTCCTAGACTCAAGCAATCCACTTGCCTTGGCCTCCCAAAGTGCTGGGATTACAAGCTTTAGCCACCGCAGTAGGCCGAGGATTGATTTTAATTGGAAAAGATATTTTATGATACAGTCTGAGAAACCAGGTTCTAACAAGTTGAATACAATGATCACATAATTTCTGAAATAAATCACATAATTTCTTCTTTAATTTTTAACTTTTTAAATATTCTTGATACATTTGTACATACTTATGAGGTACATGTGAAATTTTTTTACATGCCTAGAATTTGTAATGTTCAAGTCAAGGTATTTAAGGTAACTATCACCTGAGTATTTATCATTTCTCTGTGTTAGGTACATTTCAGCTCCTCTCGTCTAGCTATTCCGAAAAACACAATGCGTTGTTGTTACCTACAGTTACCTTACTATGCTATCAAACACTAGAACTTATTCCTTCTATTTAACTGTATGTTTGTGTCAATTAATGAGCCTCTCTTCATCCCTCCCGTCCTGCCTATACAGCCTTCCCAGTCTCTGGTGTCTATTATTCTACTATCTACCTCCATGAGATCAAGTTTTTTAGCTCCCACATATGAGTGAGAATATGTGCTATTTGTCTTTTTGTGCCTGGTTTATTTTACTTAAAATAATGACTTCCAGTTTCATCCATGTTGCTGCAAATGGTAAGATTTCATTCTTTTTTATGACCCAGTAGTATTCCATGGTTTATATGTAACACGTTTTCCTTATCCATCCATCTGTGGATGGACACTTAGGTTGATTCCATAACTTTGCTATTGTGAATAGTGCTGCAATAAACATGGGAGCACATGTATCCATTTGATATATTAGTTTCTATTCTTTTCGATACATACCCAGTAGTGGCATTGCCAGTTTCTATACATAAGTTTTACCAAAGTCTAAATATTTTTTAGTATTAGAAAACAGTCCAATTATGTTGAAAAGAATCAGTGTCAGCAACATCTACTGTAACTAGTTGGGAGATACTCCCCCCGCCCAGTTGATGACATATGTTAGCGATTAATATTGAGACTAGCTGGAAAAGAATGCTTAATTTTAAGCAGGTGGGGAAAAATGGTGTTCTTAGGCAGTTTCATTTCAAGAGAGAATACACGTAAGAGTTGAGAACCTGAAAGTAGATTCATTGATACTGTTCCTACTCAGGTACTTCTTGAAAAGAATTTGTGTAACAGTAGCCTAGTTTGAAGACCACTGTTCTAGTCTGTCTCCTGCAAGATTGTTCCAGAACACTACATTGTTGTAATTCTTGGAATCACCCATTTATTGTAGTTTATGTTCACTGCTGTGCAATGGAAGTAGCTGTCACTTTTGAATTTCTGCTGGATGCTTCTGTGAGTGATCATGTTTGAGCAAAATGTCCTGGAAGGGATTTTTTGGTTTTGTTGATACATGCACATTTTGACTAAACTTGTTTTGTCCAGTTTGGGAGCCACAATCACATGTGGCTAACATTTAAAATGTGGCTAGCACAAACAGATATGCTGTAAGCATAAAATACACACTGGATTTCAAGGACAGGACAAACATAGATAAAGTATTTCACTACTATTTTATGTTAACTACATGTTGAAATAATATTTTGATGATATAGAATTACATAGTGCATTTCACGAAAATTAATTTTACTTGATTTTTAAACTTTTAAAAAATGTTGCAACATGAAAATTTAAAGTTACTTGTGAAGCTCACATTATATATATTATATGACAGTGCTGGTCTAAAGTTTGTATTGGAAATCTCTCTAAGTTTCCCTAAAACCACTTCTACGGAAAAAATTGATTTTCCACTAATCTGGTTCAGTATATTGCTATTCTGATGTTACCTG